TTTCAGCCCAGTTTCATTTTGATATCATATTTCGGTGCTCCCGAAGTATGCGAACCAAGATGGCGGACATCGGAACGTAACATGGGTAACAGGTTAGGGTTAGGCGATAATTTTTTTCCAATTTTTCTTATTTTAGTCCTATTATTAGTTCGAAGACTAGTCAAGAGCCTCCCGTAGTATTTATACCTAAAATTATGGCCTAACCCTAACCCAGTACACATATTACATTCCGAGGTCCGCCATCTTGGTTCGCATACTTCGGGAGCCCCCATATTTCTTTGTATTCAGGATGGAGACTCGTACTTTAATTCTGGAGATTTATTGAGGAGAGAGCGAGATTATCACATGTATTTTGTTGATCGTGTGGGAGATACTTTTCGATGGAAGGGCGAAAATGTATCCACCAATGAAGTTGCTGATGTAATGGGTAATGCTCCTGGTATCAAAGAAGCAAATGTATATGGGGTTGAGATTCCAGGTAATCATTGTAACAGGGACTCTTGAAGTTTATTCAAATATTTAATGAGTGATTATACGTTAACATACAATCTGAGCAACTTTATTGGAATCTGAAAATTAGCGTGTGACGAAATGTGCCTATCGTTACGCTAATAACTGAATTGCGTAAGTCATTTTCAACAGTTTTGAGAAAAACGTAAAAAATCTAATGATATTGTTATGCCATTGAGAGTCAATAACTTGCCATGATTCAATTTTTTGATCGTAGCCGGATTTAAGTTAATTTGTATGACGCAGTTAAGTGACGACATAATTGCGACTTAGGCAGAAATGTGTCTATGACTTGGGGACATACGCAATTTTGCAACTTTACTATATGCACCAGTCCTGAAAACTAAACATTCCAAAAACGAATGTAATTCTCAGTATCTACAATGTCCAATCCCCAAAATAGCTAATCAGTTTCAATTAAATTATTTTTTATGTTTAAAAATTTATATTTCATAAATATATATAACACGTTCTGCACACCCACCGAAATAAGACTAAGATTAAATATAAAGAATAAAACAGCAATGCACCCAGTATAAAAGCCAACCAAGGTGAATTGGAAAGTGAATATCACAAGTGCACGCCTTTCTATACTGTAGTATAAATTCAAATTATTACGCGCCAAGCTAGAATCCGAGATGCAAAAACTCGAAAATACTTCAAAGAGGTTATTTTGTTTTTGTGACGTCACAATTGTCCTGCGGTAACAATGATGATTCAATTGCACAAATGTGCATGTCATACTAAATCTCCATTTTTATGGGTTTCGGAAGTTTCAGAATAAAATCTGAGTTAACAGACAGGTGCGCAGCATTACATAGATACCTATTTTATGAAAAACTCAAAACCGCCAAAAATGACTTACGCAATTCGGTTATTAGCGTGACGCTATGCAATTACCCTTTGGCAAACATCGTTAAATATTACGAGCTCCTAAAAAATCGCTGCTCTATGTTGACCATTACGATAACAGGATAATGCTTAAAATATTCAGGAAACGAGGGAAGAGCAGGAATGGTCGTTGTTTTGCTCGAAGAAAATACTGAACTTGATTGTATTGAAGTTTACAAGCACGTGTGTGCATCTTTAGCTTCATACGCACGACCTTTATTTGTGAGGTAAAGTTCAATTGTTGGGATATGATAATTAAATTGTTGCCTTTCTTATTTATTAGACAAAAAATGAACATGTGAATTGTTTTCTTAAGTTAAATTCTTTTTTTTCTTCTTATTCTTGTTGTTATGAAAAAATCGCCTTTCTGTTCAACTGTGAGACCAATTGCTTTGAAAATCTCGGTGGTTAAAATTTGTCGTTGTCCCTATAGGAAGCTATTAGTTTCATTTATTTTAAAAAATTCTGTGGGATTCTATTTTCATTTTGAAGTTTTGTAAAATGACGTCATCGAAACTGAATATTGTTAATCTGTGATCGCATTTCAGCGATCTGTTGCTTCGGTACCGGTACTGTAAAAGATTTGATTGCTACTTCACTTTATCCTCCGCGTTCATATATTTTGCGCTACTCTCTTGTTTGAATATATTCAATTGAATGAATAATTATGAAATCTCATATATATACAACAATATAATATTCTGAATAAACAACAATATTAATATTATGAATAATTTAGGTACATGCAAATTAATGAAATTCATTACAGACATATCGAAATGGATATCGATATCAACTACACCATTCCATGAACTAATCTGACACTCTTTATTTCACAGAGTTAAAGAAGAACTCGAGCTCACTGGTACGTTCAAACAGAAGAAAGTTAACTTAGTGAAAGAGGGGTGCAATCCAGAAAACATGGCAGGCGATCCGATTTATTTTATGAACCACAAAGAAAAATGTTATTCTCTCTTGACGCAGGAGGCCTATCATGATATACTGAACAACACTATAAGGATGTAACACATTTGTGTGAGAGCATGAGCTACTCGTCAAATCAGAACTAAACATTTCTAGTAAACGTATAATGATTTAGGAAAAAGCAAATTTATTGATTTTTATACTGACTTACAGTAGCCTAATTCCAGTAGTATAATAAAATGATACGTTAAAAGTTTCAGTGTCATTTTTGTAGAACACAGACAGAAGGATTGTCAGAATTCGACATTCTTATGGGCTGAAACCTTCACATTTTCAATTGGATAACGGCATATGAGACGTGATAAATTCATCTATCCAAACAGTTTCGTCCAAATAATAGGTGCATGTTTTATATCTGGTAGGGATTATCTGGTGAGCCATGTATAAGCTTGGAATTCACTAAAGATTTCTTGAAGTCATAATCTTATTGAGTATAAACACAGAAAAAAACTTTTAGAATAAGTCCTTGACTGACTTAATTGTCCGACTTGTAATTGACGGTTCCTGATTATACCCCAGAACCTGAAACTACGCTATACTTTCTATTCTACGTAATGGAAACCACGGTCTGTTTACTATAAGCTGATGATCGCCAACACCCAACTTTACATGTTTCGAAGGGACTTTTAGAACTACTAGACAACCACATGCGGTCACCACAGCCCTACTTTCATTCATTGTAACCGTTTTTTCAGTACTGTGACAGCGTTGTTGATTTTCTCAACATATGATCACTGTTAATTGAACACCTAGTGGACATAACGGTCGTTTCAAAATTTTGTTGTTATTGTTATTATTTGTCTCCGTCAACACATTTTGAAGAAATCGCTTTTCTCTTCGAATACTGGACCAACTGCTTTGAAATTTTTAGTGGTTAAAGATAAAAATTTTCTCCAAAAGGCTATTCCTTTTTTTTTGTTATGACGTCATCAAAATTATGTGACTTTACGTGTCCACATATTTGAGCATAGCTCTCTTGTAAATGTTTTGGATTGTTTCACACTGGAGTGAGTGCGTGGGGGTGGGGTTGAATCTGGTGAGAGCTATTATACGCAACCGCAGGTGAAATTGAAGACAATTAAATTAATAAAGCACGACATTTTAAATATGCCCGTATCGGTCATGGACTGATTACTTTGCACAACTGAAAAATCATGATTCGTTGAAAGTCAGCTCTTTTAACAAGTGGGATAATCGCGGCGACTGTTCCGCATGGCTGCGCGACTGATTGAGATCGCAGACATGGTTTGCAAAGATAACGAGGAAGCGAACAGTCCATACTTATTTCTAAACTTATTTGTAGCGAGTTTTAGGAGTTGAAGTAGAAATAGAAACATTTATAAATTTTGTTGCTTCTTGAGAAAATTATTTGTTTTCACGTATTATTAACCTCAAGATTTTGTCAAGCCAGTCAATAGTAATTGCAGGCTCTATTTGGATTGGGTCAAGTTTTTACACAACGAAGGAATCATTTCTTGGTAATTAAATGTGACATCAGGATGTTTTTTGCTAATTCTACGACATTAATGCAGTAAAATCAGAATAATAATCACACTATATTTCAGCACTCTCGACAAGGCCGGAAACGATACGTCATCGAATTGGTCGCTTGCAAAGAAGGCTTTATCGCTGTCGCGAATCATAAAGTGACCTATTTTCAGAGAATGTAACATACTATTAATATGAAGGGGTTAAATAACATTATAATCCATAGTTACAATCCACATTCGCTACACTGGAACTAACTTGATGTTGTTGATATATATTTATGTTCACTTCCATGTACATAATTTATGTCTTTATATATTATTATTTGATTTAATTATTGAATAGTCCACTTTGCGGAACCATTGAAAAAGACACAAATGACAAAGAAATCATATTTATTTTCAAGTTTTGAGGTTCGTAATATTAGGAAAGCAAACACATCCGAATGCAAACAGTTAGTTGCTTCATAAATTTATAATTATATAGACTCGCATTGCGTTGTATTCAACAACAGTGTTATATAATTGAGCATTCATAAATAATATAGATTATATAATAAATAAATTGTCTTCAGGGTAACAGGTTCGTGATTAATGACAACATATTATTAATTTTATTTAGCCTTGTTTTCCGGCATTTCATTGTCAGTCTTTGTATAAACGGAATGTCAGAAATTGTTATAAATTGTAAAGTACAAATAAGATCTTTAACGAGAAGTGCGTTAGTTTTGTATCGTTGAACTTTGATATAAATCTAAAAAATTTATTTATGCATTTCTAACTTCAACTTCCAACTGTAACACCTAATGCATATATTTCCTGAGGGCATTGCTTAGTTTATTTACGCTTAATGATATGGAGGATTAAGAGAGTGATTAGAACTATGAATTGTTTTAAAAATAAATTATGACAGTTAAAACAGATATGTTAACATAATTAGACTTACTAGTTACGGAGTTGATTTGGCAAACCGAGCAACTATGGCAAAGAAAAATTATCTACAAAACTGAATTTAGTTTAGTTTATGAACCGACATTGATTCCATATGTCGATTCTAAAGTATGCATTGAGCGGGATTTAACCAGATTATCGTTGAATTGTATTTTTTTATTCGATTTTGTAACTTCAGGTTCGATTTTTGTACCATTGACGAGCCCGATATATATCCCAGATGTATGTCCGTTACGCACCGATTTATGGAATGTCAACGTATTCAAATAAAATGTTTTTATATTCGTTAATTTAAGAATATGGATAGATTAACCTCACTTCATTACCGGGTGAGTTATTGCGATGTTTTCAAGAGTAAATGGTTATAATACAGTGCACGTTCTGTGCGGCAAGACTGTTCGGTCAGTCGGTTGGGCGTGATACGATCCTTTCTTCATCGCCTTTTGTGACAATATCCTTCCTGGTGACAACTTCTTTAGCTAAATAACTCGGAATAGATGAATTAGGTATATCACTTGATTAAGTTTTCATTTTAACTGTGTCCACGATGGGTGTCACATTTGTATGTAACATCTTTAATCTTGGTAGGTTGTTTGCATCTTGCTATTCAAGTAATTTAATTTAAAAAAAGGTTACCATGGATTTTCAAAATATTCTTGTGATTTTGGCAAGTTTTGTTGCCCTTCTATTAATTACTTGGCAACTGGTGGATTATTTGTGTCCGTGGCTGAAATACGACATCCAATATCTGAAAATAGGTGCCAAAGCAGTGCTTTTAATTAGAAAGGCCAGCAAAATGAAGCCAACGTTGACTATTATTGACAAGTAAGTATATATGAAAACATGTGGATTTGTGAATTTTCTCAATAGTAAATAATCAATCAGATAAAAATAATTGTAGATGAATGTAATCGGAGTAAAATTTATCCTTGGATTTTTCAAATACCTAAAGGGATTTTTTGTTTGAGAGGAGCCTGCATCAAAATAGCAGTTTGTTAACAAAAGCTTTCATGTATTCTGTAAAAATCGGTACCAAACAATCCAAGCGATCTGTTTTTCTGTTACGTGGTTTAGGTGTGACTATGGATAAATTTTCACTTTGTTATTTGTTGTGATTATGATAAAAAAATTTGTTCTAATTTGAAACAGGTTAATAGAGCAAGCTAAAGACAATGCAAGAAAACCCTTTATATACTATGAAGATGAAGTTTGGTCTTATCAAAGATTAAACGAATACTCAAATCAAGCTGCTAGAGTGATGTATAACGCAGGAATTAGGATAAATAAAACGGTTAGTTTTGAAGCGTTTTCTGTTCCACTTTAAAAAAAACATACCCAACATTGCAATTTTTGTTTGTCTCAAGCCCTGTTTATAGCCAATTTATCCGGAGTTGACTCCAAAGTCAAGAATTGTGGAAAATAATAAACCGAGAATTTTTTAATTATTTTAAAGTCATCAATTTTATCTTAACCCATTGCACTATGACACGTTGAATCACACCAAAACATCAAATATTGAACCGACGACAAAACCGGTTTTCGTGTTAGATAAAACTTATTAAATTAGAATCCCGTTCTGGCCCCAGACGAAGACTGCGATTAGGTGTTTTCTCATCAAGAACAAAAACGAGGAGAACTAATTCTTGTAGACTTTCTTCTATGAAAGTCTTTTGTTGATCATAATAAACTTGAAGTATTTGGAAACAACACATTTGATGTAAAAAAACAGCTTTTTTAAAAACACGTCGCTCAGGTTGATTTTTCTCACTATGCGATTAGATTATTTCAGTCTTTTGGAAAAAGCATAGTCATTCCAGATAAATGCCTTCAAAAAAAATATTATGTTTTTTTTTCAACTTTTTATTTGTTTTTAAGGTTGCACTACTGATGAACTCTAGGCCTGAGTTTGTTGGTTTATGGTTTGGAATCGGAAAGACAGGCGGAGCCACTGCCTTTATCAATTATAATATTCGCGGAAATTCTCTAATACACTGTTTAAAGGTTTCGGAATGTAAAGCAATAGTTGTGTCGAACGATCCGGAACTCATAAAGGTAAAACGAGAATATCGGTCAGAGACCGAAGACTTATCGATCGAAAATTAGGAGATCCCCAAAAACAGCGCTCTTACTTCATTGTGACACCTTGTGTCCCATCACTAATTAATTAATAACTCGCTAATTATACGACATAATTCATCCAAAATCAATAGTCCGGCATATGATTAATGCACATGCAAAATCTGGAGCAGATTCAATCTCGCTTTCGTGAGATATCGCGTGCATCTAACAGACAAACAGACAAATAAACAGACAAACAGACAAATACCTATCAACATACTTACCGATTAAAATCGATAAGTAACTACTCGAACTAATTATCTTACAATTTCATTCGGCATTACTTTGTCTATTTTTTCCACGTGACACCAACCTACATAACCAATATCCGGCATAATACTATATATAGCATATTGTTAACATATACAATACTGTTAATTACCAGGCAATCGAAGATATTGCAGACTTCATCAAAACTGATGAAATACAACTCTATGTACTTGGTGATCTAAAGGATGAAGTCAAATTTGATTACGAACCACTTAATCAATTACTTGGTAATTTATAATTTATAGAAATCATGTTAAGCAAAAAACGCAAATACTTTTTGCATTAGAGAATTCTACAATTTGAGGGCAACAAGCTAGAATTGCAAAACAAATAAAATGAATTCTACAAAAATTTATAAACATCATAGGTTCATAGTGTGAAATATTGTTCTATATTAATGCAAATTACAATTATATACATAGCTGAGCAGCCACAAACAGAATCACCAGTCGAATGGAGAAAAGATCTGACAGTTAAAAGTGATTTCTGTTACGTTTACACATCTGGAACAACAGGTTTGTAATTATTCAATGCAATAGGACTTAAAATAAAAATAAACATAAAATAAAAATATTTATTTTTTTAGTGCAGTAGTTCCCAAACTTTTTAGTATCGTTACCCTAGATCGAATCGAACCGAAAGCTCAACTATTTCTCTGACAAAATGAAATTTAGAGCGCGCCAATTATAAAAGCAAATATAATGCTACAATAACATAAGCATCCATAAGCACGAGAACAACATCCTGATTTAATCTCAGTGAGAAAAGTTGCACTTTTTTTGCAATATCAAACAATAAAATCGTAGGCAAAGTGAATGGTAGAATCACAAGCTTGTTTCGATATTTTGTTTTAATGTGTGTCATTGCAAACTACACAGCAATATGCTGAAGGATATCAAATATATTGTGACCTTCACGTTAAAGGCCAATCAAAAATTTGGAAATATATGTCTTTGTAGCGTCGATTTTGATACGTTAATTTCTGACAATTCCACTTTCGCACCAATATAACCCCTTTTTGCACATTGCTCGCATTCCGATCCATCTCCAGGAAGCTGACCTTGTGCCCGCCCAGAATCTATACGACCCAATCATTGTTATTAGTTGTTTATTACAAAAAAAAATGTTAAGACGGTGAATGTTTGAATTACCCCCTAAAATTGACAAATTACCTCCAGTTTGTCCACTCTTCTAGTGGCTTTTGCTATCATTAAACGCTGAACATTCGAAATTCATTGGTCCATTGGTTGCGGAGAAAAGCATTTTTGCAACAACAACAAGAATTTAACAGGATGATTCATAAGTCCATTTTGTGTCCAATGACATTATTAATAGTAAGCAATACATGACTATTTTAATTTGTTTGTTGAATGATAGTGCTGTATTACTATTTTCATCTCTTTATACATCAACAAAAAAATGGAAAACCGAATATGAATGATATAAATAAATGATGATTGGTACTAAACTATTAATAAGATTTTGTTAAAAATCGAACTAATTTTTTTTCAAATCGGATTCTTCAGGATTACCAAAAGCAGCTGCAATGAAACACGGTCGGATATTACTTGGTAGTCAAATGATTTTATGTGGAGGTGTCAGACATGATGACATTGTATACTCCCCTCTACCCCTTTATCACGTATCATCTGGAATATTGGGAATGCTTGGGGTACTAAGTCTAGGTAAGTAGAAACATAAATGGCTGGTTAGAATTTATTCGGTACAGCGTTTTGGTAAGAATAAATCGTATAAATATTTAACTTTGCAGGCCATAGGCGCGTACTACATTCGTTGGCAATAATTGTTCTGAAATAGGTGGATATCTATATTCAAATTCTAGTTTCAATTATATATATAAGAGAAAATTTCTCAATATATTTGTAGGGGCGACTGTAGTTGTCCGAAAGAAATTTTCAGCAAGTCATTTCTGGGAAGAATGCAGAAAATACAATGCTACATTTGTTCAATATATCGGAGAGACAATTAGATACGTCTGTGATCAACCCCCAGTAAGTAATAAATATATATATATATCGTCACAAACACAATAATATCTGGATGAAATTTTTTAACGATTCACGCGTGTTTTTATTTTTGGTAATAGTATTATCAAGTATATTTTTGTTGGATATCTTCAGCGAGACTGCGGTTCAAGGCTTCTTGAGTAATGCTTCATCTTCTTACTTTTATCCGTGAAAATATAAATATCCATTCCAGCACCCGGACGACAAGAATCATTGTGTGAGAGCTATCATGGGTAATGGTTTGAGGCCAGCAGTTTGGAGGAAGTTTCTAGATCGATTCGGAAAAGACATTAAAGTTGTTGAAATGTATGGGGCAACAGAAGGAAACACGGCGTTTTTTAATTTAGATGATAATTTTGGAAGTGTTGGAAGTTTCAGTCCTCTTATGAAGGTAAGTGCCGCATAAATTTGTACATGAATATACCACCGAATTCCCTATAAGACAATAAGCCAAAACTTTTAATGATATTACCTTTTTGATCGATATTCAATTTCAAATGCCTTCCAGGCAATGGGATTGGTATCTCTGGTGGAGTACAATCAAGAAAATGAGGAAATCTTCCGAGATGCTAACGGGAGTTAAGTGAAATTTTGATTAGTAAATTGATGCCTGACAAATGATGACTATACAATCACGGGAGTAAATTTTAATTCTATTACGAGTTGGGGATTGTCTGTGTTAGCCTATTAAATATAGTTTCTATCCATAGATTTCAGTTACTTAACAGCGCTGGGCTTGAAATAACTGAACCGATAATGGTTACACAGAGCAGCGCATATTGAAGTGATACAGCAACGTGATCAATACCAAGAATAACAGATATCCCAAAATGCATTCTTCTTGTAATTGTATATATATAAAATATAGCTACTTGTATTGCAGCAATATTTGAAAATCTGACATTTAGGTGTGTTCCGGTTCCATACGGAATTCCTGGACTTATGATTTGCAAAATTACGTCATCAACAGAATTTCATGGATATCTTGGAAATAAGAAACAAACGGAAAGTAAAATTTTACGAAACGTGTTCAAGGTGTTGCTTTGTTTATATCTGCATTCTTGTTTGTTTGCTGGATTACATAAATAGAAATTTGTTTTTTTTTAACACATACCACGAATTATATATATATATATAAGTATCACTCAGGCATCGTTGACTGTTTAGCCTTGTTTCATTTTGATATCATCTTTCTTTGTATTCAGGATGGGGACTCGTACTATAATTCAGGAGATTTATTAAGGCGAGAGCGAGATTATCACATGTATTTTGTTGATCGTGTGGGAGATACTTTTCGATGGAAGGGCGAAAATGTATCTACCAATGAGGTTGCTGATGCAATGGGTAATGCTCCTGGTATCAAAGAAGCAAATGTTTACGGAGTTGAGATTCCAGGTAATTATTGTAACAGTGATTTTTGTAGTTTTTATAGGGAGAGCATATAAGTTAACATACGATTTGTGCAACTCCATTGAAGTAGGCTATCTTTCTGAAATTTAATATGTGGCGAAATGTGTCTATGTGATTATCCTTGGGCAAACATCGTGAAATATTAGAAGCTCCTATAAAATCGCTGCGCTGTGTTAACAATTACGATAACAATAATGCTTGCAATATCCAGGTAACGAGGGAAGAGCAGGAATGGCCGTTGTATTAATCGAAAAAAATACTGAGCTTGATTGTATTGAAGTTTACAAGCACGTGTGTGCATCTCTAGCTTCATACGCACGACCTTTATTTGTGAGGTAAAGTTGGGATTATGATAATTATATATTGTTTCCATTTTTATTTATTGGACACGGAGTGGACCGGATAGTTTTCTTAAATTGTATTCTTTTTATTCTTGTTGTTATGAAAAAATCTCTGAGACCAATTGCTTTGAAATTCTCGGTGGTTAAAATTTATCGTTATCCCTAGAAGGCTATTACTTTCATTTATTTTAAAAAATTCTGTGGGCTGTGTGGGATTTGCTTTTCATTTTGAAGTTTTGTAAAATGACGTCATCGAAACTGAATATTGTTAATCTGTGATCGCATTTCAGCGATCTGTTGCTTCGGTACCGGTACTGTAAAAGATTTGATTGCTACTTCACTTTATCCTCCGCGTTCATATATTTTGCGTTACTCTCTTGTTTGAATATATTCAATTGAATAAATATTAATGAAATCTTTTATACAACAACATTTGTTTAATATTCTGAATAATATAGGTACATGCAAATTAATGAAATTCATTACAGACATATCGAAATGGATATCGATTTCAACTACACCATTCCATGAACTATTTTGACACTCTTTATTTCACAGAGTCAAAGAAGAACTCGAGGTCACTGGCACGTTCAAACAGAAGAAAGTTAAACTAGTAAAAGAGGGATGCAATCCAGAAAACATGGCAGGCGATCCGATTTATTTTATGAACCACAAGGAAAAATGTTATTCTCTCTTGACTAAAGAGGCCTATCATAATATACTGAATAACACTATAAGGATGTAACATATTTGTGTGAGAGTGTGAACTACTCGTGAAATCAGAACTAACAATTTCTAGCAGCGTGCCTGATCAAACACGAGAACATTAAACTACGCTATACTTTCTATTTTTCATAATGAAACCACGGTCTGTTTACAAAGAGCTGATTGATGGTCGCCAATTCCCAATGAACTCTACATGTTGCGTGTTTCGAAGGTAACTTTTAGGACGACTGTACCACCGTACAACCACAGGTGGTCATCCAGCCCTAATTTTAATCATTGTAACCATTTTTCAGTAATGTGACAGCGTTGTTGATTCTCTCAAAAATATGATCAAACTTAAATAAATGTTTTAGATTGTTATCACACTTCAGTGCATGACTGCGTGAATTAGGCTTTCTAGTTGAGTAATCATAAAATAATCGAGGAACCCATCAATCAGAATCGCATTTATTGTTTCCGTAGTATAGTTTGCTATCCATGTTTAATTACCTACCTTTTTATTTAATCAATCTTCTAATCGATTTCGGCATACGAATATAAAGCCTGGTGCAATTGTTGAGATTGCAGACATGGTTTTCAATAACAACGAGGAAGAGATCAGTCCATACTTATTTCTAAACTTATTTGCATTGAGTTTTAGGAGTAGAAAAAGGTACATTTTCAGTATAAATTTTGTCGATCCCTGAAAAAATTTGCTTTCACACATTATTGACTTTAATGTTTTGTCGAGCTAGGTTAATTTTAGTTTCGGTGAAGTTTTACACAATTCAAAAGAATCGTTTTATGGTAAATGTTCATATGTTTCAAGCTGAGACATTAAGGTATTTGGGGTATAGCAAGTAAACTCATTCCTAGCTATTTAAGTGACAGATCGCAATATGTTCAAGTAGGAACATATTCTTCGCTTCCCTTACCAGTGACTCACGGAGTTTCTCAGTGCATCTGTTTGGGCCCGTTGTTATTTTTTAGTTTTCACCAATGACATAACCCATTGCTCTTCGCTATTTTTCCAAATTGTTTGCCGATTACACCAATCTCCTTGACAGTGACAAATCCTGTGCAGCTCTCCAATTTAGGGTGAACACTGAAATTTCAAAAGTAGCAAATTGGATGAGGGACAACAAACTAGCAATAAACATTGATAAATCAAAAACAATGTTAATATCTTCATATAGAAGCCATTCTCAAAATGATCTGTCCATCAGAATTGACGGTATGATACTTGAAAATGTCAACTCCTATAAATATCTTGGTATATATATAAATAACAAAATGAAGTGGGATATTCAAATAACCAATCTAGCTGTTAATTTATCCAAATCAGTTGGAATATGATATTAGCTTTGACATTTTACATCCCTAACTACTTTACGTATATATTATCTACTACTCTTTATTTCAATCCCATATCGAATATGGCATAACGGCATGGGTTTATCGAATAAGACCTTCTTTCAACGCATCGAAGTTTTACAGAATCGAGCAATCCGCGCTATGTCAAAAGTTGGTTACCGTACTTATTCCTATTTACCATAGCCTTCTGTATATAAAAGCGAAGTGTTGAAATTAATGCAACAACACCATAACAAAAGACTCTCTCCAGCATTCACCAACTATTTTGTGAAGCAGAGCGATGTACACTCGTCATATGGTACACGGTCCTCTGCCAGGTGCACTTGTTATGTTACTCGATATTCCAACAAACTTACCAAAAACTCAATCAAATTTGTTGGTGTCAAACTATGGAATTCGCTTCCTGACAGTACTCGAACAATGCCTATAATTTGTACGGTACAAGCATGCCTTGAAAACTTTATATCTTGATCCTTACAAGTATACAGGGGTGTGCAAAGTGCGGCCCGCGGGCCAAATGCGGCTCGCAAGGGAAACTTGTGCGGCCCGCGGAGAAGTGCCAATTTTGAATGGTGCGCGGCCAGCTAAACTAGTTTTAAAATTTAGTTGGATTCCTTTGCGTAGCAAAGCTTTTATCCGAGTTCAAGTTATTATCTATGCCTATGACTTAAAGCGTCCTGACAGCGAGGCGAAAAACGCGATTCACAAAGCCGTCCCTTGCTGAGCAGTAAACAAATTAAGGAAAATACGCTAATGAATTTGTAAGAAAGGCCAATTGAAGATTAGGCAACTGGAAAGCAGTTTAAAAAAAATTAATATTATATAGATACAAAGGCTAAATGAGTTTTGATTCCAGCCTATCAATTGATTTTATCTAAATCTAATCTAGAATAAGATTTGACCGAAAATTATTTGGAAATGAATTTTACCGAAAATACCAAGATAACTTTCCACATTTTAAAAAAGTCATGACTTCAAATATATATGGCACTTTCCGGTAACATATTTATTTCATTAATTTCTAAAATGAGCTATTTTGTGACTGCAACTAATAAAACCCTATGTTAAATGACGGTGAGGCCCGCGGTTTATTCAGTTATTGATATTTGGCCCGCCCGCGAAAAAGGTTGCACACCCCTGGTCTAAGGAGACATTCATGTGATTTGTCTTAAATGTGTCATTTTATCCATACACTTTATCTATCTATTCTATGCTCTTTTATTATATTACTGCAGCCTCATTCAGAAAAGCACATAATATCTGTAATGCCAATGTTCATATATTGCACGATCGAATTGAATTCAAACAGATATATTGAAACTAAACAGATATATTGAAAACACTATGTTCTCAACTCCCGAATGAAGGCCTCAAACGCGTCACAAATTGGTCTATACAAAGAACAGTGTTAGCAAAGAAGCATTGTTAGTACTTGTCGCAATAAATCATAATCGGGATATAGGTCACCGACCTATTCATGTATTCACATACTATTAATAAAAAGGGGTTAAATAACATTGAAATTCATCGTTATATTCCGCATTCGCTACACTACTACAATAGTGCCGACCGTTTTAACCCACCCAAAAGAGGCGGTTATTAAACTGTGGTGCGAGGCTGGGGTACCCATAGAAACTGAATTTATACCAAATTGATAGATAGGTATATTGATAGATACGTTTACAGATAAGTTTACTAATACTTGCCCCATCTGTCCGGCAAGCATACCACTTGCACATCTTGTGTTGCTTGTACTGCATGCTATTATATTTCCATTTGTATCACATCGACCCTTGCACCATGTGTCCCACTTGTAATGTGGTGACAGTGGGGCAAGTAGGATAGCTGTGGGCAAATGGTGGAAGCATGGTGCATGTCGGATACACAGTGACGCAATGCTAATCAGATGGATATTTGCACCGTTCGTCGTGCTGAAAAAAAATATCAACAGGTAATTGAGAAAACAGGTACAACAGGTAACTGAAAAATGTCAGAAGCTGACCTAGCATGTTAGAAACGGTACATAGGGTGAGTGGACAACACGATCTCGAGTGGCGCTCGGGTAATATATACTTGTAACAGCAAAATGAAGATTTACCAGCATGGTTTCACGCAGTGAACGTAGTTTGTTTCCCTAATTTTTAATGCGCAGGATGAACCAAGCATTTGAACGAAAGACTGATACTATAAAAGGGGTATGAAGAGGCTTTAACGTGGGACATATGCAGTGAGGTTTTTGGGCTGTAAGATGGGTGGTGGTGCTTGTCTTCCCTGCGATAGATGGAACAGAACGACGACTGGTGCCTATCCGTGGACTTTGATAAGGTTGCTTAATTGCTATCCAAGCCAGATGGTCAACTATTTCTACTGCGGTTTGTCATGTAGGCTATAGCTACAACCATCAAATCTATATTATCGAAGGGTTGTTGCCCCAACTGGTTATTAGTCTAGCTCAGCGTCTCCCAACCTTTTTTGGTCGCGGACTATTTTCTCATCGGCGAAAACCTTTGCGGACTCAACGTGAGTTTTTTTGCAACCGTACTCTTTGTGAAGAAGTAATAAAACCAAACACAATAGAGTTTTTCCGAATTTCAAAATCGGAAATGCTACGCAATTACGCCTTCGTTAAGAGGGCCGACTTCTTTAGAGTATAAATGGCTTCTTCTGTCGCACAATATTCAATCCTTGACAACGAAAAGAATTTAAAATGTTTTCCTATTTTAATTTAATAGTGTACATGGTCACTTGCGGTTACGTTGACTTATGACAAGATGAAAGCATTACTTCTTTTAAATGCCACGGCAATCTGCGAACATAATAATGTGAGAATATATTGTCCGGTTATATTTAGTTTTGATTTAAAATATTTGCGATCTTGCGAATTTGTTATCGCCGTTAGAAAAATCCTACTATCTGCTATAAATTTCTAGAAAGTACAACTTTATTTAATACTTATTAAAAATATAAGTAGTATATTAGTAAATAAAAATAAAAAATATTCATCGCCCTGCTTTAATATTAATTTAATTGTGATCATTTTTCTCTGCGATTCGTATTTTTGTGAATTCGACAAATACGAGTATGAGCTGTTCGTACAACAGTAAAGCCAGGAGTCGGCAACATTTTGTCAGAACAAAATTCTGAAATAGTCCCGATATTCCATAGATGGGAATATCGAGAGATTAGTGATTGATATGTGTTTTTTTCATATTTGATAAACCTCCTCATTTAAAAAAGTAATTCGCAGACGTTCCACGAATTGCTACAAAATAATTCAAGGCACTGGTGAAGTAACATAATCTTAGCGGGAGTTACCAGTTATCGATTGAATGCCGACACGTTCCCGCGCAACGATTTCTTTCGTTTTGTGTTTCACTAAACGCGGTAAATATCTTACGTGTTGAGGAATCGGAAATGAGAAGCGCTAAATCAGGTGTATACCGCATATGCGTAAATTTGCGTAATGGAGAAGGCCGTTGCCTACCAGGATTATATAGAGTTCGATAACTTTAAAGACTTTCTTGTACATGATTAAATGGGAAAGCAGCTAATTTCCTCTATTGGTTAGTTTTCAGTTGTGTTACGGAAACTTAAATATAAATCAGATAATTCAATGATCACTCTGTCTTCCTAGGAGGTCTAATTTAATTGCAGTAATAAAAAATTAGTGTAGGAATAGCTGTGATAGACTAGGGTTGCCATACCGTCCGGAAAATTCCGGACATGTCCGGAATTTAGGGTTAAATTTTACGTCCGGGAGGAATTTTAAAAAATGCTCAAATGTCCGGAATCCGGAATTTTACTGCATCTGCATTCGTACTGTGCACACTGCTTATACTATGAGGTTGTGTGGAATTATGATGTAACAGAGCGTTTTCCTTATCAATGATGTTTACCACTTAGAACTTTCTGAATATTATTCGCTGACTGTTTTACCCGTTTAGTTGAGCAGCTGCAAGTGTATTTGATAGCAGTTAGTTCCATGTTAAGTTAGCAGAATACAAAAGTTTTATACCACGAAGCTTTACTTGTGGATTTTTTTATTTGAATAAGAAGCTAGTCAGGAATTCGGGATCGAAAGTGCTAGTCCCTGAAGCCATTTGGTTCAGTTAGTCTGGTGGTAAATTACTTTGTTTTTTAGAGTAGCCTAGTGGCCGCATAAAGACAGAAAAAGTTGTTACTAGCTTACTTGCGCAATATTCTATTGATGCTGTTCTGAAAAGTTTTGAAGAAAACGATATCGCAACGATTTTGGCGTTGCAATCAACTGAAATTATTTCCTACAATTTTTCAATATTTTGACTGGAGGAAAGGTGGTTTGCAATCAAAATTGATTGAGTTTACGAACAAGGCAAACGAGACTGCCGACACAATTGCCACTTATGTAATAGACACCTTAGAAGAAATGATGCTTTTGAAAAAATGTGTGGCATTTACAGGAGACAACTGTAAATGCCCCATTGAGGAGAATTAGATCTCCAGAAAAATATGCATGGTCAGAAGAGTAAATTTGTAGTGACTTGACTTACAAGCGTGTCTGTAATTTGTTTTAAGCATGTAATTGCTGTTCTTCCTTTTCGGCACAACCTAATTCTCATTATTATTTCCCACTCTGAAGTGGAGATTTATTTAGAGCTATATTTAGAGAATGCTTACCCGCCTGGTGTGAGATTTTGCTTGTGACTGAAGACAATACTTTTCATTTCGGTAGCTGGCGCTTTAGAATGAGTATCGTACAGCGTTTGCAGCCTTAGCATTTCGGTAGCGCATATATATGGTCTTCTGAAAATACGGAGCTCCTGAAGTATGTGCACTAAGATGGCGCACAACCTGAACATAGTATAGGTTGTGCGCCATCTTGGTGCACATACTTCGGGAGCGCCGAAAATATTCATGCACTGTCCGGAATTTTGCTTTGTCAAATATGGTAATCCTATGTTAGACTAGGCTAAAATTCTTTACCGGTACTTTTAAAAAACAGATTGTTGTATGCGATGAATCATAATGATGGTTTGAAACACATTCCCGCATTTTACAGGCGCCAACTCGCAAAAGCACTCTTAAAATAGCTTCGACAATTTTGCAATGGTAAAGTATAGCAAGAATTTTTCGGGGGTTAAAGGTCGGGGAAAGGTCCATTGCTTTGAAATTTTTAGTGGTTAAAGATGAAATTTTTCTCCAGAAGGCTATTACTTTTATTTATTTCAAATATTTCTGTTAGCTCTGTGAGATTTGTTTTTGTTTGCTATGACGTCACTGAACGTTCTGCGGGCGCATATGCAGGCACTCCACTTTTTGATCACGTGCCAGCGAACGTTGGCGTGACGGCGGATTCTGAAAGTCGTTACTCAAAAATCGCAAGTTTTTCGAGGTTACCGGTGAATGGTGGTGATGCTAAAGGTACGGTAGATCGTACTGTACTGCTTCAATTGGTGTGAATATATTTGTAGACTGTGGTCTAACTCTAGAAGAGCAGTGATTCCCAAAGTGGGCGATATCGCCCCCCGGTGGGCGAAAACGATACAGAGGGGGGCGATAGCCGATAGCGGGCGATTTCACAGAGGGGGGCGAAAAAGTCGTAGGGGGCGATTTCGCTAAACCTGTTTTTGTTCGGCGCATCGTGCACTTATTCTGTACTATTTGTGAATTTGCAGGCTTGAATCACGTGGGCGATTATCACACGCAAAAGGATAGCTTGACTCGTCTTCGCAGTAAGGTACGGTAGTTTGCGTATCCCAGTGGTCGGCAAAATACGGCTGGAGTGAAATAATCTGGCCCGGAACGATTCACTGAATGGACCTTTCCTCGACCTTTGACTGCGTAAAATTCTTCTTATACTTCCCCATTTTAAAATTTTTGGTGCTTATTTTAAGAGTGGTTTCGCGAGTTGCTGCCTGTAAAATGTGGTATTTGTTTCAAACTATCATTCTAATTCATACCATCCAACAATTTGTTTTTAAAAAATACCGATGAAGAATTTTAGCCTAGTCTATCACAGCTATTTCTACACTAAATTTTGATTACTGTATTTAAACTGAAACTCATAGGAAGACAAAGTAATCATTGACTTATTTGATTTGAATATAAATTTCCGAAAAACAACTAAAAACTAACGAATATAATTCAAAAACGCGAAAATGGGGTAATGTTCACGACCACTCCTGAAAATCTGTCTGAGAGAGTGTGTCTGAGCGGATGCGAAAGAGGGCATTGTTACGTTTATTTTTGCATCTTGCTGATTGGCCAATTCGCTTGCTGATTCGCATCCGCTCAGACACTTTTCTCACTCAGACAGATTTTCAAGCGTGGTTGTAAGTAGTAGTATATATTTACGGTTGTAAACATTACCTCGTTTTCGAGTTTTTGAACACTATTCGTTAGTTTTCAGTTGTGTTTCGGAAAGTTAAATATAAATCAGATAATTCAATGATCACTCTGTTTTCCTAAGAGTTTTAATCTAATTGCAGTAATAAAAATTAGTGTAGAAATAGCTGTGATAGATAGGTAGATAGATAGTTTATTTCGAAAACTCCATAACAAACCTAAATTTAAAATGGAGAATTCTGGAGGGCAAGCAAAACCTACAAAAAAGTTTAAAACATGAAGTATCTCATGTGCCTGCCCACCAGCACGCACACAAAAACACAAGCCCAATTAAATGAGGCTTGGGCCAAACTTAAAAAATAAAATAAACGATAGTAATAAACTTTCGGGCTGTTGTACTCTCTTTCAACAATTACGTTGATAATGACCAATACCTACAACCTCATGCAAAGATAATGTGGGGAGTGGAATGTAATAAATTTGCGACGGTAGTCATACTCATGAAGCCATGAAAGCTTTAAGAAAAACCAAGCCCTGAAAAACTACACTGAGTGCTAGATTGGGCATTGCGGAAAAGGTGATAAGTGGTTTAATATACAAACAAACGCAAAACCATGGCGGCAAATTCGGTGTGCGGACACTCATAAAAGCAATTATTAGGAAAAACACTAATCACACGTGAGCAGGTCTGTAGCCTAATTGATACATTGACGTGGCCAACATTGTTAAAACAGTACTAGGACTATAGACTAGGCTGAAATTCTTTACCGGTACTTTAAAAAAACAGATTGTTGTATGCGATGAATAATAATGATGGTTTGAAACACATTCCCCATTTTACAGGCGCCAACTCGCAAAATCACTCTTAAAATAGTCCTGAAAATTTTGCAATGGTAAAGTATAGGATGAATTTTCCGGGGTCAAAGGTCCATGGGAAGAATTTTCGTGGGTCAAAGGTCAGGGAAAGGTTTATTGGTACGGTACTGAATTAACAAAATCAACAGGCATGTCACAAGGTGAGATTTCCCGCGCGGGAGAGTGTCACGAAGTTGCGCTCAAGATTTATTTATTCTTTAATTATTGATTAATCCACATTGTGGAAACATTAAAAAAAAAAAAATTACGTGCGGAACGGTGCATGTCTCGTTTCTGCATCACTCGTAACGTTATGCTTAGACCACGTTGTGTAAAAAAATAAGCTAAGCCAGCTTGATTGATGGTGCCGTGGCTGAGTATGGAAGAGGCGTGAAGTTATCGGTGTCGGGGCGTTTGCATACTCCCTTCTCAAACAAAATCGCGTTGTTTACAGATTTATCGTGCTGTAGCCTACTGTACGGTACCGTACCTTCTGACCTTAAACAAGCTTAGTCAAGTCTGTAAGTCAACGCCTCCAACAACTTCCGCAGTGACACTAATAAGCCAAGGCTCTGTAGCTCGTAGGCTATTTGACATTACTGCATCACCAACTAACCAAGTCCTGAAGTCAGTCATTTTTTGCAGCGATGGCAAGAGGCTCGTTAATTGAATAGGGTAAATAGCGATATGCAGTTCAGCAGTTGATTTGTCAGTTTGTCACACAGAAACATTTTTATAATCTAACTGCAGAACTGACTATTGTCAGATTGTACCGGTGCATATCGCTGTATCGTCCTTGTGTTGTACCTCTTCGTCTTGTGTATTATATATTAGAGTTTTATTTGTATACCGGTAGCCTATTTCATATCTGTTGTCCTATTACTGTATTATAACGCTGCAGTCCTAAACTGCTGTTATAATTCAGTAATTGTAAGGGGTGCATGTCGCACATCTGTGTCTTATGCCAGTACAGCAGTAAGGTCTTGAACATGTATCCCGTCTCTGCTTTACTGTTTAATCATTATGCAGATATTGTTACATTTTTGAGGCAAATAAACATACATACATAGGTCTGTAAGTTGCCATAAGCCATATCAGCATTTTATACAAAAATCGGCGGTGTCTGGGTATGGCGCATTGTGCTAAGCGTCAGGAATATGGTACGCTAGCCACCACACCTCTGGGGTCTAGTATAGTTTATACCACAAGTACATCCAGTGGGCATAGCATAACATTTGCATATGTTATTCCTAAACCCCACCTGACTATGCCGTTAAATAATTACGTCACTACGACGTCACCATCAACGTCATAGGGCTTGCCAAATTACGATCGCCTGAATCTCATCTGCGCCTCTGATAACAAACTCGCTAAGGCTGGCGATCTCTGTCCTATCGTGATCGTTGTGACGTAAAAACAAGAGAAATAGCTTGCTCGATTTCGCTTGTGATGTAGTCAGGTGGGGGTTAGGATGGACATATGCAAAAAATGTTGAGCCAGGCTTACTAACTAAACCAGACCAACCGCTGGTCGGTCACAGCTTATTAATCCGTCCTATCCCTTTCCTCTCCCCCAAGATAAATATGTAAATCCTATCCTATAAAGTTGTTGCCATTCAGCCTTTGGATGCTGCTTCCAAATGTTGAATTTTTACGGAATTCGCATACTTCAATAACTTGGGTCATCAATGTACCTTCTAAATAAAATTGATTAGAGGCCAACATAAATATGGCAAAACTGTTATATTTCAGTGTTTGCTTAATCACATGTGAACTTTGATTACTATAAATACAGGAATATTTATTTATAAATTAATCAATTGATGCAACACCAACAGTAATGCTGATTCAAAGCATTATCAAATAACATAAACTGGAACTTTACATTTCACAAATCAAATTTGGGACCTGTTATAACTAAATGGAATATCTGATCTGAAAGTATCACTCTACATTAAAAAATTACAGGGAGCAATGTCGTCTCAAGATATAAGTTCTACTGATGTGATTGTGCAAAGTGATGAAGATACAAATATTGTTTCATCAACCACTCATACTTTTGAGTTTGAAGGAGATAGTTTCAAAGCAGCAGGTAGAAAAATACAAAGATATATGTGTAAACACTGCGACTTTGTAACAGAAAAATATTCCAGCATTTATGTCCATTTTAAGCGCTCACATCCTAGACTTGCAAAAGCAGGTAGTCCCTTAAGGCATTATAACAGGACTTTTGGTTTCCCCCAAAATAAGCACATCCCCACATTATATGCTTGTCAACATTGCAACTATATTACATTAAATATGAGAGGTTTCATAAACCATAGTTCTAGGAAGCATCCAAGGAGAAAAGTCAATCCCATAAAGCAGGGATCACCTATTACAACCTCTGTAAATAAAAAGTATTTGGAAGCACTTTTTATGTCTAGAGAAGAACCGCAGAAAAATAAGCGAAAAATTCAAAGGCTTTTAGCAACTTACCATGCAGATTCAAAAGTAGTGCAAGAGCCACCGCAATATCTATCAACTGGTTGTATACTGTGCAATCAAAATTTTTTATCAACTGCTATGCTAGGTCAACATTATGAACTGTGTCATTCTCACCAAGGTCCGAAAAAAAGTCAAAAAACAGGTTTTTATCATTGCAAATTATGTCCTCATGAGGCTTTAACCAGAATGACTCTCTATAAACATTATGCATCGTCACATTTCATGGATGCATTTTATGCGTGGAATGTTCCTTATTTGGAGCCAAGTTTGATGAAAAAGAATGAAGACTTGGGAAGGACTGAAGACATACAAGTGACTAATGTAACACATAGTGATTTATACGACACAAAGAATATTGCAACGGAAAATCTCGATATTTTTTCATCATCCACAGTTCAGTGGAACATTAATGATTCTACACAGAATCAAATATCAGAAAGTCGCATTCCGTGTATTCTTTGTGATTTTTCCACAATAAATCTTGTTGAACTGTTGTCTCATTATCAGGACTGTCATGAGGCTCGTTACCCCAAAGGACTCAAATCGACTTTGCATACTTCACTGATGGTACATGTTGTTCGAGTGAATATACCTCACACTGATTCATTTTATATTAATCCTGTTTCTGGAGCATCATTGGATGAAAGTCCCACTATTGTGGAACATTATGTATATGAATGTCAGTTATGTGTTTTTTACTGTAACGATTTTCAATCTATGATGAAACATTTTGTGGAAAATCATCATTCAGTGGAAGAATGTGTCAATCATGTTGCGTGCAGAATTTCCACAAATGTGCCCAAAAGAGTTTCAAATTACTTCATGGAATGTATAGAATGCGGTTACATCGATTATTCAGGCTCGAAAGATGAAATGGTAATTCATTTACAGCAAGAACATTTTGTTGTATCATATGAGGAATCCTTCCTTACTCATCCAATAACGGAGCGCAGAGTGTGCGCACATTGCAGTATCACGACTGATGTGGATTTTATGCAGTGGCATTATGCTCATGTTCATAACATGAACAAAATGCTATGGCACAATCTTGAATTGAAGCTTCCTATTCTCAAACAACGTCCCTTTAAATGCTCTTCATGTTCATTCCTCAGCATTGATGATGTTGAATTAGCTTTTCATTACCAAAATGAACATTCTAGAAAATATTTAACTTTCACAACATTGAGTGATAGATACCGATGTATGCAATGTCCATTTATAACAAGTAAATTATCTGAAATGATAAAGCATCATTTTGAACATGATAATAGTAATGCTCCCGTAAGGTCATCTACCAGCAAAAGTAATCGGTATCTTTCATGTAAGCATTGTGGGAAGATATTTGGTGCTACCTCTCATTTATGGGACCATATTACACAATGTCACTGTCCTATATCACAATTGCTATGCATTAATGATTTGTCATTTCACTTTATAAAATATGGTTTCTGGAATGAGGATATCTCCAAGAGTGAATCAGGAAGAAAAAGTAACCAACTTCCTTTCACAAATAGTGTTGCAAGCACCAGCGATTCGAACGGCACTCCCGAAATTGAGAGTGGAAATAGCTCACATACATCTACTTCTTCAGATACCGGAGATAGATTGCTTTGTAAATTTTGTTCTTATGAAACTGGTTACCATCCCAGTATGAGTCGGCATTTAATATCGAATCACAGCCATAATGTGACATTTCGTTGTTTCAAGTGCGACATAGAGTTTTCTACTATCATGGATTGCATTCGTCATCATTTATGTATACACGGACTCAGAATGACTCGACCAGCTGCTTATAATATGCTTCTGAATGATGTTACAAAAATTCCGCAGAGCCGACCAAAGTTTATGTGTGCTTGGTGTGGATATAAAGCCTTTTCGTTATCAGCAGTTTTAAACCATTTTAACGCAAAACATGTGACAGATCAAGTTACGAAAAAGAAGGAAAACAGTGACCAATATTACTCTTGCCACTGGTGCGAATATGTCACAAAGAATGCAACCAGTATGAGATCTCATACAAGCTCGAAACATAATTACGCTATTTCCTATCAATCTTTACGGAATTTCAGAATAATTGAAAGTGATTCTTCGTTTTCATCTTACTCATCAGAAGAGGAATATAGTCCGTTGGCTAAAGTTCGAAATCGTAAATCAAAATTTTCTTTAAAATCGAAGAGAGCAAAATTCACTTGTGTGAAACATTGCAGTATTGATAGTGACTCTGATTTTTCTGACTCGGAAGTTTATAAAAGCACTCACGTCCGATGCAAACATCAAGTTAGATATCCATATACATGTAGATTTTGCATGAACGCCTATGTATGTGCAACAACCTTTCTAAAGCACTGTGTAAACGAACATCCACTGTGGTGTTCAACGTCAACTGCATTGAAGTCTATAACAATTCTACCTGATCCGATTGCCCTTTTGTCGAAATCAAGATTCTCGAAGGAGGTGAGTTGAAATTATTAAATGGTGGCATGTACTACATAGGAAGATTGTACGTTGTGTTATGTATGGTATGGTGTATATAAATGAAAACTGTCACACACCAGAATGACTCGAAATCACATAATCTACTATTTCAAATACTTTTTTAAATAATAATTTTGAATATGGAATATCAAATATATCTATATTTGGTCAGGTTTAACAAGTCCATTTTTCATTATTGAATTTGAGAATGCAGTTAATTAAGCAGTGATTTGATCGGTTTCCTATTTTACAGCATTTCTAAATTAAATGGAGAGGCATTTCTGCTACCACACTGTTAGACATTTTTCAAAATGAAACTATAGGCCTACCAATTTTTCTCTAAATCAAGAATTAAAAATATTGTATGTAAGATATTTTGGACAGATTGTTTCCAACATCCCAGGTACCGGTACCCAGTAATTTATCTGGTATTTTTGTGATCAATTCACCAGTGTTCAGGTATAGGTTGTATTTTTAGTCACAGCATTTTTTTTATCAATTTATCAAAACCCATTATTGCTCTGTCTGTGTCATACTCTGATGAGTATTTCCTAAAATATTCATGATGATGATATTCATTTTTGGCTATGGTTCATATAGGATTATTCAGCTTTCAAAACTATTACCGGTAAGTTTAATTACCGTAATTTTGTTCAAAAAGGGGGAGATATCCTGAATCATTCGTTACTTATTAGGCCATGCTAACACTGTGACCGATGATGTATACTCATGCCTAAAAAAAATCCAATGAGGAAGTAATTTGCGATGCAGATTAATATTGGTTACTATGGCAACTGAAAAACTTTCCCCTAATCAAGGATGTCCATATGAAAATTTTACAATTCAGCTTGCAGTTGATTTTAGGTATTATTAATAATGAGTAGATCAACTTTCCTGTATATTGTCCTATTTTTAGACTCGTTTTCTGAGTCTAAATAAATCATCGAAATGGCGTCTAAGATCAGGGAGGTCTTTATAAGGAAAATTCTTTAGTACCATATAAGTCCATGTATCTGGAACTAATAACTGGCTGACTGGCCTTCCCTTACATGGACTGCTAACCGAACGAGAGCCAATGGTACGCCACATGATTGAGTCATCTTGTTGACTTTCCTAAATAAGAATGATATCATATCCTTTCTATTTATATTTTCTATTTCCTTTCTCATCAACAGTTGTGTTATTCATTTCAAGATTCATTTTGATTTCCATATATTGTATTTTATAATTCAGATTACCAGGCTTTGTGAGTTATGCCACAAAACTTTTGAAACACTAATAGAACTCCAAGAACATGCACTGGATATCCATAATGGACAAACGGTTTGTGTTAAGTTGTTTTAGTGCTTTTGCAGTATAAGCACTTGGGATATAAAATATGAAGTTTCATGTTTCTATTCAGAGTTCTGTGCTGTTTGATTAAGTATGGAACAATAGCATTTATTTTTGTGACTGCTAGTTCTCAGTGCGCAGTTTGGATATCTTATAATTTTTGTTGTATCGAGATATTTGTTACAATCAGTTTCGATTTAAATTGAATTGTGTGCTGCAAAAATTACTCACTGAAGTTTCTACACTTGCTTTTATGACTCCATTTTATCAATATTAATTAAATCAATCTAATATTTTCAGATTTACAAGTGCGTGCATTGTCAATTTTGTTCTTTTGATGAGAAAAAAACACTCACTCACTTCAATAAACATTCGTTTACTTCAAATCAATCAGAAAGCAATAGGTAATTCAATTTTTTTTTTATTAACTTGTTTTTTTTAGAATTTGGAATCATTATTATATCAGTCTTAACTATTGACAGGCCAGCAAATCTCTTGGCAAGTTGTTCCAGTACATCCAATACACCAATCATAGAGGTAAGGTATTGTCTGTAATCAGTTCAGTTTGATTTTGTTTGATTTTATGGTGTGTTAAGCTAATATGGAGTCAAAATGACCTATACTTATAATGAAAAGTTGTGTGACATGTTGCCATATGCAATCTTTCATATTTTGACAAATAAGGCACTTACCATCTTATTATTTATTATGCAGCATTTCAGTCTTTGTCTCATAATATTTTTATGTCATACAATCAAAACCATTTTTCCATTTTTGATGAATATCTGACCAGGATTTTGAATTTTATATTACAATCCGTTGTAATGCTGGTATTGATGACTTTCGACATTATATTACATTGGCCTTCAAGTGGCAATAGCCCACAGAAAATTGGAATGAACTGCTTTTGCTTCAAGTTAACTGACTAACTAATCCCATACCCGACATGGACTGGTAACCGGATGAGAGGCTGTGGTTCGCCGTATGATTAAGTCTTACCAGCCCCGGGATAAATATGTAAATCCCATCCTAAGTTTAAATCATGGTTGGACCCATTAAGCTTTTACTTGAGCTAAATATTGATTGTCTAACTTGTTTTTTATGCAATTACTTTACCATGGTGATGGTGTGTACGAGGTGCGGCTAAAATGAAACGGGACTGATGTCACAGATTGCGCAACACGATTAACCATCGGTAATCAACACTTTTGCAGTGTGGCGTAATATGTGTTCTTTGTTTAACAGCTGTTTTGACACAATATCGCAATTATTTTTGCTTTTTAGGATCCATAAGTGAATGTGATAAATTTCTTGTTGAGAAAATGCTGTGCGAGGTCTGATTGAGTTTTTTGGCGATAGGGGGTTCAATTGCAGAATGACGATTGAGCAAAGAATTAACATTAAATTTTGTGTCAAACTTAGAAAATGCATGTCAACTCGGCATGCATTCAATCGTTGAGCTTTCTGCTCCTCAGTCAACTCAAGAGCCTTTGGCATCATTTTGGCACACACCTTTCGCATTCCCAAAGTGTCAACCAAAATGGTGCGGACCGTTTCTTTGTACATCCCAATTTCGTTGGCAATGACGCGAATTGTTAAGCGACGGTCACTGCGAACCAACTGCCAAACCTTTTCGATGTTGGTATCAGTAGTGGAAGTGCAAGGCCTCCCTGACCTCGGATCATCCTCCACATCCTCCCTGCCTTCCACAACTCGCTTGTGCCATTCAAAAACTCTTGTTCTGGACATGGAAGAATCTCCATAAACATCACGCAACATCTGCAAAGTCTCAGTCGCCGTTTTTCCAAGTTTGACACAAAATTTATTGTTAATTCTTTGCTCAGTCGTCATTCTTTAATTGAACCCCCTATCGCCAAAAAACTCAATCAGACCTCGCACAGCATTTTTTTTCAACAAGAAATTTATCATATTCACTTATGGATCCTGAAAAGCAAAAATAATTGCGATATTGTGTCAAAACAGCTGTTAAACAAAGAACACATATTACGCCACACCGCAAAAGTGTTGATTACCGATAGTTAATCGTGTTGCGCAATCTGTGACGTCAGTCCCGTTTCATTTTAGCCGCACCTCGTATTGTGTATTAGTATCTTATTAGGTAAAGCACAACCTCAACACTCTTTAATAAAGCATGTTCATTCAATTTCTATTCTAGCAATCACAGACAACATATACTGACAAAATTGTACAGATTGAATCAGATAGCAGTGATGATGGATTACCCATTATAACTGCCACAGGAAGTCGGGGAGTTCCAATAAATGACATAGCACCACAGAGAAGAGCGAGAAAATCTATAAGAGGATATAATATGATGGATATAACAGAAAAAACAAGTCATCCAATGTCAACAGCCAACAGCACTCCAGAACCATCTCCAATAAAGGAGACTTTTGATGGGGATGAAATGTTTTCTTCTTATGGAGAAATTGAAGAAAAGTCTGAAACAATAGATGGCAATGACCCTAACATTCATTTTGAACATTCTGTATCTCATGATGGCCTACTTAGGTTGGTATGTTTACATGAGATTAGTTTAAGCTTTTCTATGACTCATCAATATCTAAAATGGTGGATGAGGGAAGGATTTGATGACTCATGATATTTTGCCTACAATTTAAAAGTATTTTAATAGAATATATTACTCTGAGTGAGTTTAGAGTTTAGAAATTCAATCTTGTATGAACATGATTTTATAGATCTTTACTCTAAAATTATCCATACCCATGGGGCCCATGAGTATTTTTTTTTATTTTAAAAATAAGATGAGAATTATTTTCTTTTGTATCAAATATGGATTCCCACCCAGTGCACTATAATTAAATCTTTTCAAACTTTGAATCTGTTCGTTTCAGGTGCAGTAAGTGCGACTTTTACTCAACAGACTCGGAACGTATGGCTGCTCATATCAAATGCACTCATATGTCAACTAAAGATTACGCATGCAAATTCTGCGATTATGTATCTGATAGTTTTGTTAGTTTAGATGAGCATTTGGCAGAATTTCATAAGGTAATTAATGATTAACGAATTTGGTATTTTTTAGTATTCATTATCAGCAGTGTGGATATTTATAAATATGAAACAACAATTTAGCAGAGAAATACAAACATTCTTTATGTGGATTGTTTTTTTTACTGTGTTGTCTTGTATGTTACTTCAAGTCATATTTTAAATTTCATATATCCAATACTTAGTTCAATGTTGCTCGTTGTTGTGCATGCAGTCAACTGCAATGTTATTTTGAGTAAAATTTTAAACCTTGTAAAAGTTTGTTCGATTTCAAAACCAGTAATTCGATATTAGCATTGTTTGTAATGTAAGATATTTGGAAGATAAAATGAAACCTTATTTTTGAATATTATTCTGAAATTGAACATTTTCCCAATTACTTACCAAAACTGTAGTGTTTATTAAACTTTTATAGCTTCGATATTTGTTCAAATTTGCAGATTGAAAAAAATCATCAACTTGGATTACAAATGAGATTTTCAATGGAAGATAGTCTGGTTACATCTGAGGCAGCTTCTGAAGCTATTTCAGGTGAGATTTCACCTAGCATGTTGGCATAACGATTGTGATAGGCCAATTTAAATATAACTTGTTTAAATATAAATCAACAGAGAGATATCCAGTATACACAGATCAATTTCAGTATTTCAAGCCCTAAATATATTTTTTTAAATGTATATGTAGTGTAATTGAAGTCCTGTTGTATTCAAAGCTCTGAGTTAAACATCTGTGACATATTTATTTGGATACCCGTTAATCTTAAAAAAGTCTGAAGCCTTTATTTTAAAGTTGAAAGTTAGATATGTTCCTTGTGACAACTGAGATACCATTTATGAATAGCTAGCTTTTGCTTGACAACACAATAAAACGTTGGAATTCAATTTCAACAGTTTTTAGGAAATGAATTTCAGCATAGAAATTTCGTTGTTCATACTTTCTGTAAATTTGTAATTTATACATGTATAGCATGTCTCATCAGATATTCTATTTTTGCTGTATGTGTCCGAAGAGCATTTCCCTGTTTGAGAGTTGTCTTTCCGCTATTACTGATATTGCAATATTTTATTTATGTTCATGTAGTGTGGTAAATGATTTTAGAGGAAATAGCATCAACAAAATGCCAATGCTTTTCCATTCATTGCATCCATTTGTATGCAAATTTAGAACTATAAATAAATACCACAACAGGAAAACTATTTACGTAGGTTGTGGTCTCTGAATCCCGAATTTAGGGGTTTATCCCCAGTGTTATTTCTATTTACAGAAATGAAAAGCCGATTCTTATATACTCCTACGCCATGTTTACCAATACTCCATGAGGAAGTTAGTTATTTGTCAAATACCAGGGGTGGTATTACAGATGGTATGGTTTGTTATTGTAATTCAAAATAAAATAAAGTATCCTTTTTACTGTACGTATTGGTTTTCCAAAATATTTAATTTGTCCTTTTATACATGCCTAATTCTAATAAATGTCAGGTATTTTATGAATTACTTACTGGTATATTCTTTTAATCTAAGTTTTTCTCTTTTGATCAGGTGCCTCATCAAGTTTGGAGAGATTCAAATGTTCATACTGCGGTCATATTGAATCATCGACATTCAAGTTAGAAATGCATATGAGACGACATGAAGGGTAGAGTATGTTCCATTCAATCCCCTCAGTTCAGGCTTTCCCTGTTAGGTCTCCTGTGTGGTGGTTTTAACTAACTTTTCCACCTACTTCTCGACTACTATCAATTTTTGTTTTCTGCAACTCAGATCTATAAAAGATTAGATGCTATCTGCTATGTAACGAAAGGAATTGAAGCTTTCCAAATTTGGGTTACTAAATTGGATCATTTTCAATAGCAAATCTTGCCGGAAATAAATGGTTACTTGAAGATATCAAATTATTCAATTTGGATACTTAAGATTAACATTGTTTTGCTCTGTATTCTTTTCACATATCATAAAATTAGGAAAGCCTTATTGCCAGACTATCAGGTATCAATTCATTCAATTGCTTGAAATGATAATATTGTGTATAAAAACTGTCCTGACTATCATGGGGCATCGACTAACTTTGAATACATTTGGAATTTTGAATATTTGTTTAGTTTGCGATGTTTTATAACAAGTTTTATTGGAGAAAATAAATTGTATTGTTATTTCTTTATTCAGAAATTTTGAAGAAAATATGGGATCGGTTGATACAATGAACTATCAAATGAATAAAATGGGAATAGTGTACAATTATCCCTAATATTTGTGTTATAGCTTTTGTAGCTATTGGTTTGCCTTTGTAGATTTCTGCATAGTATGAGATTAAAATGTTGATGCAGAGGCAGAGCATACACAGTATTGGGTAAATGTCCCTAAATCTCCAGTTTGAAGTCCATCACTGAGTGAATCAATTACTCGAGTCTCAATCATTGATATTGGGTAAATGTCCCTAAATCTCCAGTTTGAAGTCCATCACTGAGTGAATCAATTACTTGAGTCTCAATCATTGAGCATACAACATATGATTTTTTATCTTGCTTATAATAAGCGGTGTCAAATATGAATGGCTTGCTATTTGGTGTTTTAAAATACTGATTTGCATTCAATTAACATTTTTAGTATTAAATAGATTTTCTTCGGAGCATAACATACCCAAGTACCTAATTATTAATTTCAGGTTGAACCTCATAAAAAATTATATTGATTTCAGTGTTTAGAATTATAATATTTTCTTATCTTATTTTCAAATTTTGTTCCTCTGGGAGACATTTTCTTGAAATTATCCCATTAATAATGTTTTTGACTCTACAAAAATCAACATTTTTTTAATAAACTGTCATAATCCACAAATCCAAATATATAGGCCTGGGTGACTGTAAAAATTATAAAGTCAAGTCAACTTGAATCGAATTCAAATCATATCTAAGAAATAGATAAAAACGCATAATAAATTGCTTGCCAAAGGAAATATTCTTTTGAAGGTGGGAGAAGCTGACTTTCTTGATTTGAAACTTTCTCAACTTTGGAAAGTTGGCAGTGTCGTAATTATGCTTACAGTCATCTATGTGCCATAGATTAGTCAAGGATGCTAGTATTATACCAGGAATGTGTATGTTGATTGATTTTGAAATTTATAAAACTTGTGCCAAATTTTTTTTTTATTATGAGATTCATGTCTGGTGAGATGCCTAACAGAGGCATGACATTCAAGCATCTTGCTCTGAACTTAAACCAAATAATATGAATTGAAATAATATATAGTAACAATAACATTTATATTTTGGCTTTTAACGTTCATTTATTATTTTCTTTTTTTCTCTTCTAAACACTTTGCTTAACATTTTGCTTTGCTCAAACAATCAAATTTTCACCTATAAATGGTGTCATCATTATTTTATTAGGTTCAGGCTGTTGATGGGCGCTAGATGCTTCCAGACACTTCTTTTTTTTATTGTCCTTTGCTGCTGCCTTGGTTAACAATTATATTTTGGCTTTGTACGTTTTATTTTATATTTTCTTTTCTTTTTTGACTACTAAACACTTGCTCAACATTTTTCTTTGCTCAAACAATCAAATTTTCAACTATAGTGTAAATGGTGTCAACCTCATTTTTTTCTTTATTTAAAACTTTCAGGTTTACTTACTTGCTTGTTATTAAGTTCTAACAGATTGTACTTTGTTTTTGAAAACTGACAGCATTTTGAACAATATATTGTTCGTTCATGTGTACACTTTTATCAACCATTTCAAGTTCCAGAACTTATGTCATACTTTTCACTTTTGCTTTAGTAAATCGGCCTTTTTAGTCTTCAATTGGAGAAGTAATTTAGCTTGTAGCTTTATATGTCTGTCAACCTTTTTATCGGTGCACTGATTTTATTTTTTTAACTGATTTTGGCTTCTTGAGTTGGTTATTGGTAATTTGGAATTATAAACTGCCGTATTTTACGGACCTTACGTCAATAAATTGCCCACATTGGGTTTTATTCATACATGAGGTGCATCGGATTATAAGGCACAACCGGTACTATTACTGGTTATGACTCTAGATAGGCAAAGAAGCATAAAACACTTATCTGATACACACATCAAGGGCGCAGACTTATTCCGCAAGGCCCACAATCGTTTTTTGTGGAGAAAAGTATTTAAAGCGCGCCCTATGGTCTGTAAAATACGGTGATGTAAATGTAATGGTATATCCTTGTTATCAATGCGTTAGTCTCTTCCTGTCCATGCCGCATTGAAAATACAACAAATCATTAACCCTCTCCAACAGTTTTCCGGTGCGAATTCCCATTGTGAATATTCAATTCACCAGCACCCCTTCTGACTTTTCATCAAGGACGGTTAGGGAGAAATATGTTTGAATCATGTTTATACTTTTAATGTACTAATTTCCATGTGCCTTGGCCACGGTTGAAACTGCACTTTTCATGTCGTAATTTGTCGTTTAGCATATTCAGTTTTAAATGCCCGTCCTTAAAATACAATTTATTTTATGATCTCAGGCCCATCTTAGATTTTAAGCTGTTTGACAATAATTACGTGCAATTTTCCATTTTGATATTATCTGATCTGTTTGTGTGTCGTTATTACGGAAGAAGCTTCTATATCCGTTTATAGCAACTTTTCATGGTGTTCCGTACTTCCATTTCATTGTGTTAAGGGTACTCATTGTTTTTGCTATGTGACTAGCTGCTGGTTTCGTGAAGTTCTTCCTTTTTTCAAATAAAAAAAGTAACCTAACCGACTTCCCTGCATGATTGTCGCAACGCCGCCGCCCTTATCGATTCCCGCTAGATTGTCAGTCGAGACCAGATGGGTTTTAAATAAAATGTACTTGCCCATGTATCGAGCCATCCTAGCCAGTGGTGGGATTCGAAACGCTAGGAACAGGTTATTTTTTGCAGAGAACACGGATAACTATGCCCAACTGAAACCAAAAAATACAAGGACGGGTTTGTTGATATCACGTCTTTCTAAGAAACGGTTCGCGCTAATTCAACCAGTATACAGAGCTACATCCACTTCTCTAACTGTAAAGAAGGGCTGCCCAACATGTTGTATATTATACCTCTGATGAAATACTTGAGTTTCAAGCCCGTGTGGGATGGTTGTGTGCGGATGTATATCATGAATTCTCGCGTCACAAGATAGTTTGTATATCCGTCTATCGACTACGGATGCCTACACCACCGGAGTTCATCAATGAACGGTAAGTCGACATGAAATCGCCTTCCCTCACCCCTGCGAGCGTGATAATTGCGATTCGCGGGAGCAATGTGGTCGAATTACCTACGTAATGATAATGACGTAACGATTAGCCTACAAAGGTACTACCAGCATCTTTGTTGAATAGTCAATAATATTTCATTGTAAACCCGAGTGGATGGCCAGCACACGGAAAACACGCCACTCTGCAGTTTGCAATGTGCGAACCCTATCCAATCGGATTTTCGCTGGATTGAGTAGTTTAATTGAATAACAGTTTGATTGGACTGCGATATCATTCAGGCTCACGAAAACCTTCATGGATCGTAAAAATCTGTTAGCCGTACGCATGGGATAGTGGCATATCTAGGTATGGCAGCCACGGGCGCAGTTGGAAAGGGGCGGACAAGTTGTAGTCGTAAAATGTTTAAATCAAACAATTTCAGCTTAGAGATAATAATAACGTACAAGTATCTCGAATGAACTACAGTCGTTAAAAAGACTAAATTCTTGTTGTCGGCGTGATTGTTGTTGTTGGGAAAATCGCTTTTATACCCAAATTATGGACAAACCGATATCACGTTTTCGTGTCCATGTATTTGAGCATTTCTGTCATGTTATATTGTGGTTGATATCGATATTCATATAACAATGCATCATGAATTATAATATGATCTGTACAAAACGCCTCGTTACAAAGTGCTTATTACATAAACAACATGAGAACTATGCTCAAATATATGGACATGTAGCGCCACATAATTTAGATGACGTCATAGCGAAAAATAAAAGTAATAGCCTTCTGAAGAAAAATTCCATCTTTAACCACTGAAAATGTCAAAGCAATTGATCCAGTAATCAAAGAGAAAAGTGATTTCTTCAAATCGATACAAAGAACAACAAAACGATCGTTATGTCCACTACGTGTCCAAGAAAAATACTATAAACCCTGAAGGTTTTTGATTTATATCGCCAACAATCGAAGTATGAATGATCTAATGATAAAATTATTTTATGTCATAACGGTACCAGTCTAGAACCAGATCTCTCGCATGGTAATATTGAAGACTGGAAGTCGGTCTTGAATATTTGTGTATTGTCATATCTAGGCCTATCATACGTCCTGTTTTAGGCAGAACAGTCCCATCTTTCAACGTCTTGTCCCGGCGTCATACACAAACATTAGACACATTAGCTTTTTGTTAGACACGAAATGGACCTACGAATCGTTTCTTAGTAATTATTGCTCATGTTGTTATTTTTTGTTTTGTTGTCAGGAATGAATCGATTTTCTTATCAACTACTAGACCAAGTGCTTGGGAATTTTCAGTGGTTGAAGATTGTATATTTTGCTAAAAGAGTATTACTTTTATTTATATATATCAAAATTTTCTATGGGCTTTATGTGATTCGTTTTTCATGTCGAAATTTTGTGTGATGGCCACTTGAAAATTAATAGGAATTATTTGTAGAGGTTCTTCGACCTCTCTCGTGTACTCTTTTGCTGCGCGGAAGTCGGAAGTTTTGACGGTACTGTAAAAGGTAAGGTATAGACTACTGCTCTTCTTTGGTCTTGGTGTCCATATATTTGAGCATCGCTCCCCTGTTTAATATGATATGATTATTGGCCGGTTGACTACATGAATTGTTCGACTCTAATTGATTTTGGAAGTTGTTGAACATGTTATGCTAAAACGGATTACATCTAGAAATTCATTTTTATAGATAGTTTATTGAGCAAGTACCGGAATTTCGTGCCATCAGCTATGGTTGGGTGGTACAGTCCTATGGTGAAAACTGGAGAGATCTAACTCTTCCTATTTCCGTTACCGTCTACGATTACTTTGCATATCATCTCACTCAGTATAGATGTAACATATAGTACAAGTTTATCGCATTAACGACGGAAATGAATTTGAAAATAAATTGAAGAAAAGGAAGGAGACTGACTAATGTGGAATTTAGTATTAAATGTTGATAGTAATATTCGATACAAAAATCCATAAAATAGAGCCCATTATTGCGCGTGTTGAAGATTATAAAGTTGTTGGAAAATTAAAAGAAAATAAGAAACACCCCAAACGTGAAAAATTACAAGCATATATAAGAGCTGAAATTTGCCAAATGCTAATGTAAATTTGCTTTGTGTTTTTTGGTCAACAGTGTGTTTAATTCTATCCCGAATCGTGGTACACCATAGTGCGAATATTTCGCAGCAGAATCTATCTATAGTGCTTTGTGTCAACGTGTGGCCTATTTTGAGACTTAGTGTAAAACGAGTGTATAATGCTTCATTATATATATTCAATATTTTTGCGTATTTTAGATGCATCAAATTTTGTATAAATACAGCAAACAATGTGTTAGAACTAATATCTATCAAAAGGTTCGGAAATGGAAAATCTACTCACTTCATTTGTTTCAACTCTTCAACTTGCATTAATTTTTCCCCCTTTATGTTCACATCGTTGTTCCATTAAACATTTGAGGCGTTTATACGAGTAGATATGATATTCTTAAATGTTGACATTATATAACTGATTTCTGTCTTCATTGATTTATTTCGATATTTCAGTTGCAACTTATTTCAAATATGATTTAAACATGTATGCGTCACTGTGAGATTTATTCGTCATCGGAAGGAACATTTTTGATGCAATAAGATTATTGGGATAAATTGTATTAACTATTTTCCGTATAACATACTCTAAATAAAGATTATATAATCTGAATTATACAATAATAATGAATATGACCCAAACATTTACCATAAACCGAACAACTAGGATAGAAATGATAAATACATTCATATCTTTCACAAAACGTGTTTACTTCTTCAATATTGAACATGGTCGAAGATATTATCACGAGTTCACAAAAAAAAAACGATTATCGCAATCAATCGAATAGAATTAATCAACTTTGGAAAAAAAAATAGTTCATCAGAATGATTAATGTGAGAAATATTTGTACTGGTTATCGGAAATAACAGAATTAATACGTTGTGACGGTATCAAACGTTCGATTATCTTGCTTTTATATGGTGAAATCCTTTTCATTGCAACGAGATGCATGAAAACGAGCAGACACACCAAGTTCGTGAATGTTATTGTAGAATTTGACGACATTATTTAGAGACGGTTTTGGGTGCCTGAAGTAACTCCAGAGTAGCCATTCTTCTGTGAATGAGCAATAATTATAATAAAAATGTACCAAGCGTGATAGCCTATTCCGACAACATGAAAATGTAGTGAAGTCTCTGATGTTCACCGTAAAACTTATCAATCACATATGTAGTCGGAGCAATATTCTATCTATACTCACTTATTTCATAGTAAATTACATACATCAAAAATAATCTTGCACCATTGTGCATTATTGGTCCAGTCCAGGGCTACACAACTGGCGGACCGCGGTCCGAAAACGGACCTTTCGACCATTCAATATGGACCGCGTATGTAACATAAGCATCGTTTTATAGTTTTTATTGATGCTTTTATACTATTTACATACACAGCTATACAGTTTGCCGTACTGGTACCATTGTGCGACATTTGTGTTCATATTTGTGAACCATTCATTTCTCTTGTATATATTTAATCCAATAATGCATTTATTTATTTAATGAAATATATTTTCTGAAATGTCCGGACCCGAGTAATTTTGAAGTTTTGTAAACGGAATTTTGGTGAAAACAGTTGAATGGACTCTAGTTCAATGGCTAAAGGACTATATATATTGATAATGTATACTCTCGGATTTGAAAGTAAACGTGCGGAAGCCATGACCTGTACAGGGGTCCGCAGAACTCTGGTTGAAAACCACTGGTCTAGTCATAAAAAATAAATGAGTGATCTTATTGGATAGTATAATTTCCAGATGAAGATGAATTAGAATTCTATCTCAACGGAATAATGTTGATGTTACTCATAAATCAAAATATTATTTACTTGCCTTTTGCTGGACAGACCACTACTCCCAAGTAATTGGAATAATCGGTTATAAACACGTAATCGTCTTTGAGCAAGTGTTTCTCATCTAAGCAGAAATAATATTAAATTATAATAGCGACAGCAAGTTAAAATAATAACTTTTTAGGGTTGAAATATAATGGTTATCACTACACAGTCCTATACGTATAGAAATATTCAACATAAAAATGAAATTTTTTTACGCTAATTTGTGCTTATTTATGAATAATAACATATTTATTTTAAGGCTCCTACATAAATTTGTCTGCAACAAAATAATACAACGAATTTCTGGAGATTTTTATTTATGAATTGGATGAAATAAAAAAGTTAAATTAGTGTTTGGATTATGGTGAAATTTAAAAATTCATGATTTATAACCAACAAACTAAGAATGGAACAAATATTATATTATGACTTAAAGGGGTTATATGTGAATGTTTAGCCTAAATTTTCAATTATATTTCTCTTCAAAATCACCAAATAATCACTGTTTTATAACAAAATGAATAATCTTAGATGAGGTATCCATAGTCAAGATATCAAATATATTATAGACATACCTTCCTTACGCGCTTCGGGATTAAATTTTCCATTCAACGTGTACTCGTGTGCGGTTTTTAAAAATGGTTCTGAAATGTATTAGTATTAGAATTAGTTATATGCTAGAAATAAATGCAAATTAATTTTATGTTATAGGCTAAAAGATTGAAAGTACAAAAAAACTGTTCTGGAAACGTGCAACTAACTATTTGTATTGTAAATATATATTTTCACATGGCCTACGTCATACCGTCTTCAGTACTTTCGTGGTAAACTCCCAGCCGCTGACGTATAAGGTGAGTGATAAAATCAGTTCTGTGAGACCTAAAATATATATTTTACATTATTCGAGGACGAAAGAAGTTGGTACCTCAAATTATTTCAAACTGTCTCATTGGCGTCGTAATGTTGTGTCAGTGATAACGTGTAGCTCAATATGAAGATCTGTTTTCGGACATGAAGTGTACCTATGGACCGTTTTGTTATTATGTTGTTGTTCTTGTATGCCATTCCTTTTTTTTGTGATTGTGAAATTTTTTTTTATCAATTACCAAACCAATTGCTTTGAAATTTTCAGTTGTTGAAGTTTGTATTAATCGATAGAAGGCTATCACTTTTATTTATTTTAGAAATTTCTGTGGGCTCTATGGGATTCATTTTTTGTGTGTGATAGGACGTCATGAAAAATTGCGCAACTTTTAGCGGTTCCGCGTTCACGTTGTTTGCTTTCTGGTTGCGAAGTCGTGAAGACTGCGGTACCGGTAGTCTACTGTAAAAGATAGCATATTCGTAATACTTCGTTTTGGCTTCCGTGTCCATATATTTGAGAATTGTTCTCTTGAGGTGATTAGGATTATTAGGCGAAACTAAATCATTGCTCTTTCAAATTTTGAGTCGCGCATAAATTTCTATGTGCAATTAATTAGCAACAAATATGATCCAAAAATTTAGAGTAAGTTCGTTAAATAGACTAAAAAACGAGCTTTATCTAACTGGAAACAGTTAAATTCTCCTCCTGAGATTTAATTTAGGCAATCTAGTGTTTTTCCGAATTTTATTCGTTTTTTTTGGTCACACCATCCCGACAAGGAATATCATGTCAGATGTTAAAAGTCTACCACAACCTGCACCGCAACAAATCCATGTTTTTGCAGGATGGCAGAGTAAGAAAAAGTACATGCAAAGTCGGCGCTAGTTTAGTTTGGTAATATAAACGCAGACCGCATGCTTTGCTTGTAATAAAACGTTGAATCATTATTTCGCGCCACAAACAACAGCAGAGGAAAAAACATACCGTAAGTGCCTAAAAGAGCGCTTCCGAAGTATGTGCACCAAGATGGCGCACAACCTGAACTCTAACCTGGTACACATACTATGTTCAGGTTGTGCGCCCTCTTGGTGCACATACTTCTAGAGCTCCCCTAAAAGCACTAATAAGGTGTCTACCAGCTTAGCGTTGTAATACCGAATTGTGACTTGCAAGTGGGCGCAAGGAAATGAAAAGACTTATACTATAGGCCGAGTAAGGGAGAGAATAAGATTGTTTTGATTGTTTGTCGGAATATAATTTTATAAAAGCACAGTTGCACAAAACATGCTTTGGCTCTTTGAAATTTTTAGAAGTCGAAGTCGGAGCTCAAATTCTCAACTGAAAAATCTCGATGTCGATGATTCTCAACTGAAAAATCTCGATGTCGATGTGTCTACCAATCCTCGCTACATGAATATTCCCAATGGGATACTAATCTGCGAAACAGCGCGGCGTAATTAGTGGTTAGGTAACTTGTTATCACGATATGAGCTTCCATAAGTGTGACATTTCACGAGTTATGGCAAGCTAATGGAGACGATAAAGTTTATGATATGCCCGAAAATGAATACAAGTCACCTACCCAGCACCAAATTCTTCCGTATGAACTTCAAGTCCTGTAGAAGTTACTGTAAAATTGTGTATGCGAGCACATGTTACATCCGCCGAAACGGCGTCGTTAGTTTGAATTCCAAGGTACCAAACTGTGTTATTTAGCTGTAGGTAAAAATTGAAACATGTTTATATCTTGTACAAAAGATGTATTATATTTATTCTTAACTCTTTATTCTACATATAAATAACACGTACGTCGATTGCATAATAATTCATTGATAATACACGGAAAACAAAAGAAATAGTTTCATAAATAGCTTCAGTTTCATAAATGAGTGAATGGTAACTCTATATTATACCTTAGAAATATCAAGATCTTTTTGTGGTGCGGGCATCGAGCATTTCCACGTAAATGCCAAAGAAACTGATCCACACAGAAACACAGCAAACGTTAGGCAAATAAAATTCATTGTGATTGATGAATCAATTTCAAATTAGCAACCCACTACTGTTAATTAAAATTAAAAATCAAATTACAAAAGTCGAAAATTAAATAAAAGTTGAATAAAACTGAGGAACATGTGATAAGTAAAGTCTATGATACGTATAGATTGGAACTGATTCAAGTCTTATTATTACCTTCAATATAGGGTACTCCCGAAGTATGTGAACCAAGATGGCGGCCACCGGAACGTGGTATGTGTACCAGGTTAGGGTTATTCCATAATTTCAGGTAAAAATACTACGGGAGTCACTTGGCTAGTCCCTGAACTCGTAATAGAATAAGAAAAATCGAAATAAAATTATGGCCTAATCCTAACCTGGTACACATACTACGTTCCGGTGTACGCCATCTTGATTCACATACTTCGGGAGTACCCAATTTGGGGTTTCGCTGTGCCAAAGCACAGACTTCTTGATTTATCTCTTTCTAATCATTCTCATAAATGACATCAGAAGTTCTGCGCCACATTCATTTTAATCGGGTCCGAACACGTTACGTTACAGTTGCGGTAAAGCGAATATGTGTCTCTACTTGCTTTTTATTGGATTTTTGATGCAACGTTGGTATGCGATCGCACTTGCTTAACGTGATCTCAATTTTCATAAAAACCTTTTTATAATAGTCAGTTCCTAACCCTAATTGAAATCACAAAACCGCTGAGATCGCATACCAAAGTAGCACCCGATTTCCTATTCGCTTTATACATATTTGCATACAACTATGCAATTAAATGAATTGCGTGATGAAAACATTATTCTTGATACCAAATGATATTTCAAATAAAACGCAGCAAAGTCTGATGGATTTTTGCCTGGGAATAAACAAAATTCCGAGCACCGCCACTTTCGCCACGAGCATCCTAAGCATTACTTTACGAGATTAGAATCCACAATCAAATGCAGTGAAGACAGAATAAAAAGGCCATTATGTAGGCGAACTTGCCTCTAGTGGATTCTACCATGATTTTTGAGTTGTGTTTACACACACACTTGGTGGGATTTGATTGACAGCATGAACGAAATGTTTTGTATTTGAAGAATCGATTGGCATTACAACGATTGATCATATATAATGAAGCACATAAAACGGTGTCAAACTCTGAGTATTATTATCAAAAACAGACATAACAAAGTTTCATCCAAATTGCTTGGTTCCGCGAAGAGGTGTGGAAACCACTGATGTAGGAAATAATTAAAATATACATTATCATGAGTGGGTATAATATTAGACATAGCTGCAATAGAATTCACTGTTGTTGTTGCGAACCAAGTTTATTTTTCCCATCTAGTAAAAATAAAAATAAAAATGATATTTAAAGATTTACTGGGGAACCAAAACTGGTTATCAAGCAGTGACACCCGTGGTTCTAACAACCAATTCAACAGATTGGGAAGGAGGGTTTCAAAATCACTGTTATTAATGGTGAGTACCACATGAATTTTGCGAATTAGCCTACTAACATCGATTATTATTAGACATTATCATGTATTAAATGAGCCATAAGACCTGCTAATCCGTTTTTACTGGGATACATGAAGCGGATGTGCTGTTCTGAAAAATACGTAAAAATGACTCAGCCATCCACGTGGTTGTAATCAATGCAATGTGAAGTGTTAGACAATGAACACAGATAAAGAAAACCGGGTGCAATAAATAAACTAAAATTGGCACGCTAGGTGTTGAAATAAAGAATATTTGCATATGGCTATTACCGGTAAACACCAGCGGTAGCGGTAGTCAGAAGTGGAATTCGAACCCACGCCCTCATTCGTAGACAAGAATTCTCAAGATCCAGGTGATGGAAAGAGATGACTCTTGCGTCTGGCGCATCAGATCACTCGGACATCCTGGCATCAGCCCCCAAACTTGAGCTCAGTCTCATTCAGTTGAATATTTTACAGTTTAATTATATTGATTTTGAAAAAAAAAAATTGTTGAATTTAGACTCCAGCACAAAACTGACCAGAAACTTCCAATCCAATTTTTGGTAGTTCGATTACAGTGTAAAACTGATAGTTGCTTGTAATATATCTGTATTTGTTACAATTGTTGTAGTAGATGGAACAGGACATGACAATGAAACGTTTTGATGAAACGTATACGTTGTTTTTAAAAATACTTTTATATTAACCTAATTGGGATAAGGTGTGATGAAACAGGGTTGTCTTATTCCGTTATTCGACAGTATTAGAATATTTGTTCTCCGCGTTTAACTATAAATGTATCATGGATTTATATTTTATAGTTCTCCCCGAAGTGATATGTGTTATATTTAAAACTGTAAGCGGTAGTAAAGGTTTAAGGTGTTTCGAAATGTATAAGTATAAAGATTTTCAAGAGCAATCTCTTGAACGAAAGAAAGAAAACAAGTGCACGAAACGTTTTTTGAATGAATGTCTGCACGAACTTCATTGTTGTTACTGTCAATCAAATCTGAAAGTTGTTTATCAATACAACGTAGAGTTAGACCATCATTTTACAGCTCTACACGTAATGGCATATCTATTGATTATCCTTATATAATGAAAACGAAATTTTAAATTTGAAAGATGGAATGTTTATTTGTGGGCACGAAATGAACCTATGGATCGTTTTGTCATTTTGTATTATTGTTGTTATGAAAGAATCGCCTTTTTCATTACCTACTTCCACTGGACCAATTGCTACTGTCTACTGTGAATACATACCCGTACTACCTCTTTAGGTCTTCGATTATTATTATGTTATTAATATGTTGTTATTGTTTCATCATGTTCATCTTGTTTGTATTGCTCGTAGTTATGAATAAATCGCTTTTCTCATTAACTCCCGGACGGACCTTTCCCCGAGCATCGGCTTCTTTGTTTACTTCGTGACATTGGCCAATCAGCAAGATGCAAAAAGTGACGTAACAATGCTCCCTTTTCGCATCCGCTCAGACACTTTTCTCACTCAGACAGATTTTCGAGCGTGGTCGTAAACATTACCTCGTTTTCGCGTTTTTGAACTCTATTCGTTAGTTTTCTGTTGTGTTTCTTAAATATAAATAAGTTAATTCAATGATCTATTATCAATGACTAGGCTAAAATTCTTTACCGGTGCTTTTAAAAAACAGATTGTTGTATGCGATGAATCATAATGATGGTTTGTAACACATACCCCATTTTACAGGCGCCAACTCGCAAAAGCATTCTTAAAATAGCCCCGAAAATTTTGCAATGGTAAAGAGGATTTCTGCGGGGGTCAAAGGTCGGGGAAAGGTCCATTGTATGAACTTTTCAGTGGTTAAAAATTGGGTTTTCCGCTAAAAGGCTTTAACGTTTATTTTTTTCAAAAATTTCTGTGGGCTCTATGGGAACCTTTTTATGTGTGCGATGACATCATCAGCAATTCAGCCGCGTAGTCGGGAAGACTGTGGTACCGGTCGTCTACGGTGCCAGATTGCATACCATTACTATACCTCGTTTTTGTCTTCACGTACACATATTTGAGCATCGCTCTATTGCTTTTTTTACAGATCCAGTTTGCTGAATTGTGTAGTCTCTATGATAACTGAATTTGTATGAAGAAGACTGACACCAAAAGCCTTGTTACCTGGTGAGCGTTCCTGTGTGTTAAAGAATGTTGGCAAATACCAATTTCCTGAGAAAATGAGAGAGCGCGCACTTTATTAGACGTCTGATTTTGCGCGAAAGAAAAGTCATACAATTTCCGACTGCGGTTGATCTGGGCGCAGAATAATGTCGCTACTTCAGCAGAGTATGACGTCAAATGATATGATATTTGACTGAAAACAATTTGGAAAATGAAAAAATAATAAAAATTGAGAGGGAAAATCAATTAGAAGCGAAATGATCAAATAAGTCAGTTTCGCCCCGCAACGGCGTCCACTGGTGAGCTTACAACAAAGAAATTCGGACTAACATGACGCTGCAAAGTGCAAATGACTGCTGGTAGATTCCCATAAACCGTTAAATGAGAACTTAGTAGATTTAAATTTACATGAAATATATATGCATTTACGCTCAAAGAGAGGCTCATGCGCGATAAAAAAGTGGATTTTCGCGGTAATGTTTCCCGTTAGATTTATGCGATCCCATCGTGATGGAGATCATCTTGTCAACGGATGAATAAAAGAGGATTGAGACTAGAGCAATAAATAGGTAAGAATATAATAAAAATATCCTAATGAAATTAATTTTTCAAAGCCTAAGAATTGTGTTCTCGCGATATATATATACCACTAAAATGATCGGGGATACCGTAATTATTATCAACGATCATGATGAAACTGAGATTGAAGATCCACAATTGAAATGAATTAATTTACAACGATGGGATATATAAAGTATATAGAGTGTGTGATTATTATTTTTTACAGCAATTTTCAGTGTTCTGCTAGCACTAATAACGAATATTGTGTAGACGTAAACAGGGTTGTCCAAAACGAATCGAATATTCGAATGTATTCGAATATCAAAGTATTCCAATACCTTTTCGGCTGTTTTTCGAATAATTCCGAATAGTAGCCACTTTTCGCCGTAATCGTGGTGTTTCGTTTTATGGGAATCTTCAAACGACATTTTACGCTGTCTCACGTATTGTAATGACGATCGGCACTTTGATTGTTTATATTCTGTGCGACCGTACGTCGCATAGTGTTGCGACACGTTTGCGTGGGTGGACATTGCCGACATTCGTCTACGAGGCTTTTAATTTACAAATTAATTTCCATTACGTCGAAAAATTGACAATTACCGTATTTCCCGACAATAAGTCGCTTTTCTAGGGGGGCGTCTAATTGAGAAAGTATGTAGTTCTATGTGGTCTGTTTTTATTCGCATGAGGATTCTCAAGCATGATTTGTGTAACCTTATATTTGGGTCTTAGGGTCTGCCAATCATGATATTTAATCGCAGACCGGTTATCGTTACTTTAATAAAGAGAAACACGGCCACCGAGATAAAGTGATTTGTGACCCTTTC